ACATGGTCCACAAAGAGGGGGTAAAATAAGGTCTGCGTGAAAAGCAAGTTTAAACTAAAAACAACTTAGCAATAGCGATAATAATCTCGGGAATTAAGGGAAACAGCAGGGTGACCTGATTACTTACAGCTGTGTGTTTGCCTCTTTAAGAGTGGAATCGAGGTGGACGTGAGCAGTGGAGTCGAATCTGTGCGTGATCCGAGATCCAAGGCGGAGTCGGAGAGCGGTGAGACGGGGAGCGTGGAGTGCAGCGTCGTGAAGGAGGAGCGTGGCCGACGGGAACTCAGAGGGATCAACTGAGGCGTTTTTGGAGCGCACAGAAGCAAGACGGGAAAGGCTTACGCAGACAGCGGAGAGAAGCGGAAACGACGTAAGAAGATAAGAAGATATCTCAGCGTCCAAGGGCTGTGCCATACGTTATGCAATGAAAGGACATAGGGAAATACTGACTTAAAGGGGAAACAACATTTAAAGAGGCACAAACTTTGAAATTGAAATAAAAAACAGAACAAGGACATAAAAGTGTGGCGAAAAATAGAAAGAGGGAGAGTAAGAGTAAGGATAAGAGTGGAAGAAACAGAATAATAAGAAGTAATAAGAAATATAAAGAACTGAACAAAACCACCTAGAAGGGTTTAAGGGGATAGCAAGTATTTTATGTCAAATAAAAAACTAAATTAGTCGCAAAAGCAATTTACAAGGAAGAGAACTGCAGTAAAATAAAATTTTCAAACAAGCCCAAATAGGGAACAAGAAAATAAAATAAAACATAAAAACAAAAATAAAAATGGCATCAGGAACATTTAAGAAGCCAGGTGTTCCATCACCTAGCCAGGGAGGAGGGCTACCTCAACTCAAAGCAGGTGGACCGCCAGTGACACTAAATGATATTCAAACATTAATGACTAGTTACCTGCAACAAGCCGGGCAACAGACAGAAGAAATATTGAAAAAGGGATTAGAACCCATACACACAAAAATTAACGATCTTTCAACCCAATTAAAAAATGACACTCAAGAGATAAAATCAAAAATACAAAAAATAATAGATAACACTACACAACTGGAAGATAAAGTAGAGGAAATTGACCAAGAGGTCCAAGAGGTAAAGAATATAGCAGAACAACTGGGACTAGAAAATGAAAACGAGATTCTTGATGATGTAGAAATGATACAGAGGAAAAGCTCAGCCTATACCAGAAGACTCAAGCTCCCGAGAGAAGTCCATGTTAAGTTTCTTAGAAAAAGAACCAGGGATCAGATTCTATATGCGGCAAATTCAAAGAAACTAACAATAATGGGAGCTGAAATAAAAATTCTCAAAGAAACACCATGGAGAATAAGAGAAAAATGAAAGAACTACGATATATTAACAGATCTACTAAGAAAAAATCAAATACAATACAAATGGCTACTTCCGGAAGGACTCCTCTTTTCCTATAAAACAAAGAGATATAGAATAGACTCTATCTTTAAACTGGAAAATTTTCTAGACACAGAAAGAGAGGACTTGGGCTGGCAAAGGGCTACAGAAGAAGAGGAGGAAGAAGAAGATGAGGAGGAAGGTAGTGACACACAGGACGGTGCAATAGCACAAGTAGAACTCACAGAAAAGGAAAAACGGGATATACGTAAAGAGAAGAAAAAACAACAAATCAAAAATAGGACTGAAACACAAATAAGAACCAGGTTGCAATTGAAAAATAAAGTTTTTAAAAAACAAGATAAGAAACATGACCACTAAAAAACTCTCTATTCTATCGGTCAACGTAAATGGGATGAACAGCCCACAAAAAAGGAAAAAAATATTCCACCAAACACTACAATTAAACCCAACTATTACTTGTTTTCAAGAGACACACATAAAAGATGTCCACAGCAAGTACCTGGACTGTAAAAAATTAGGCAAAAAATTTGTTGCATCAGATACCGTGAAAAAAAGAGGCCTGGCATACGTAAAGGAACATCTCAACCCAGAACTTCAATATAAATCACCAAATGGAAGAATTTTGGTGGTCCAAATCAGAACTAATGGAAAAACCGTTCACTATATGCCACAAACCAAAACCAAGAAAATTTCTATAAAGAACTGAAAGAAGTAGTAGTGAATAATTGCACAGGAGACATAATTCTAGTGGGCGACTTTAATGCAGTATTAAGTGAGAGAGAAGATAGAAAAAGAACAAAGAAAACAATAAAAATGGCACGTTACTACCAAAATCCTTTCTAAAAATGGCAGAAGAGCTAAATCTCATAGATATCTGGAGAACAAGAAACCCGCATAGACATGGTCACACATAGACATGATCTCGGTAAATGTGGAACTGGCAAAAGAACTAGCAGAAGTGGAGATTTTACCCAATACGTATGCTGATCATAACCCGATGTGGATAGCGTTACATATGGGGTCTAAGCAAGGAAGATGGAGATTGAACGTAGGACTACTACAAGATAGGATCTTTTTAGGGAAACTTAAATCGGAAATTAAGGAGTTTATAAAGATAAATAGAACAGAAGAGGTATCAATTAATACAGTTTGGGACACATTGAAAGCATATATAAGGGGCCTGCTAATTTCACAGGATATATGGAAAAGGAAACAGAAGAATGAACACTACAAAAAATTAGCTGGGAACCTAAAAATAGAAGAAGGGAAGTTGAAAAGAGATGGAAACCTAGGAGAAATCAAAACAAAGATAAAATTAATTCAACACCAAGTGAATATGCTGCTAACACAAGAAATCGCAAAAAAAATAGATTATGCCAAAGCGTATCACTTCGAAAATGCGAACAAACCAACGAGATGGTTAGCGTATCGGTTAAGAAAAGAAAGAGAGAAAAGAACCATCACAGCGTTAAGGAATGAAGAAAATGAATTAGAATATACAAACGAAAAAATGAAAAACATAGTAGAAAACTTTTACATAAAGCTATACAAACAAGAAACATTTGATAACAACGCAAACCAAAAATATCTTGAGAAACCCAACCTAGGAAGGTTCTCAGAAGCACAAAAAAGAATGCTGAATGAGCCCATAACAATGTGCGAAATTATGGAAGCACTCAAAAGACAAAAGAGGAAAAAAGCTCCAGGCCCAGATGGATTAACAGCAGAACTCTACCAAAAATGTGAGGAGGAACTGACATTACTATATAAAGATCTGGTGCAGAATATTGTGAAAACAGCAATTATCCCGCAAACATGGAACGAGGCCCTAATAACTTTGATCCATAAACAAAATACAGAAAGATCTGAAATCAAAAACTATAGACCAATTTCGCTTCTGAATGTGGATTACAAGATCTTTTTATTGAATGTTACACCTGATGGGCTAAAATTCAACGAGAAATGCATTATTGTATAAGTCATTACAATGTCTAGGATTTCTATTGCTAAAAATTGGAAGTCTGATAAGTTACCGAGAAGGGAGGATTTGATCAATATTCTTTATGAAGTAATAGAGATGGATAAGCTCAATATGTTTTTGGTGGGTAAAACAGAAGAACAATTTAACTTGAAATGGCAAAACGTCATAAAATGGTATGAAGGGAAAGGCTGATTTAACCCCTAAACGTATGCAACTGTAATATGACTATATGTAAGTTGGAAAACTCAAAATAAATTTGTTAAAAAAAAAAAGAACTCAAATGTGAACTTGTGGATCTCCTGACAAAAATATATAATTTGTCATTAAAATCTGCCTCCATTCCTGAGGAGTGGAAGGTAGCTAGTGTCTCTCCTGTCTTGAAAAAGGCTTCCAGAAGAGATCTGGGAAATTATAATCTAGTCAGTCTAACGTCAATACCGGGTAAGTTGCTGAAAACCATTATTAAGGAGAGAATTAGTAGGCACACTGATGGACAAAAACTATTGAGGCAGACTCAGCATGGGTTCCGTACGGGAAGATCTTGTCTCACTAACCTGTTAGTGTTCTTTGAGGGAGTAAACAAACATGTGGACAAGAGGGACCCAAAAGATGTTTACCTTGACTTTCAGAAAGCTTTTGATAAAGTTCCTCATCAAAGGCTCCTAAGTAAGCTCAACAGTCATGGGATAAAAGGACAAGTCCTCTTTAGAACAAAAACTGGATGATTAATAGGTAACAGAAAGTATAAATCGGCCATTTTCTCAATGGAAGGTGGTAAGTAGTGGGGTACCGCAAAGATCAGTACTTGGTCCGATGCTTTCTAACTTGTTCATTAATGATTTGGGGTTGGGAGTAAGCAGTGAAGTGGCTAAATTTGAGGATGACAAAAATGCAGTGAAGTGGCTAAATTTGAGGATTGGGAGTAAGCAGTGAAGTGGCTAAATTTGAGGATTGGGAGTAAGCAGTGAAGTGGCTAAATTTGAGGATGACAAAAATTTTAACTATAAGTACAGGTTGATGGGGTCTAAACTAGCAGAGACTGACCAAGAGAGAGATCTCGGAGTCAGAGCAGATAACTCACTGAAAATGTCGAGACAGTGTGCAACTGCAATTTAAAAAAGGCCAACGCTATGCTAGGCATTATTAGGAAAGGAATTGAAAACAAATCAGCCAGTATCATAATGCCCCCTGTATGAATCGAAGGTGCAACCTCATTTGGAATACTGTGTGCACTTCTGGCCACCAGACCTCAAAAAGGATATTATAGCAATGGAAAAAATGCAGAAAAGGGCAACTAGAAT